TTACAGAAAAAGAAATACACTTTGCTAATCACATTTGTACTTAAACCCAGGCTGTGGACTTTTACACATCTATATAAAATCAATGAGAACAAATGTTTGTTTTGCTTGTTTTCCAGCGTTTGGAGGTGAGAAGTGGAAGACCAATGTTTTGCTAACGGCCTTCCTCTGTCCCGGGTAAGACAGTGACAGCTTTCTCAAATAATAATCAACACAATAATGGAAACTATTCTACTAGTTTCAAGTGGACAGCTCAAAGTACATCAGTTCATACTTGCTTGTCTCCAGTGACCACTGTGACAATATGTTAAAATGTATTTCTGTACATAAAGATCAAATTATGTTGTTTTTAGCAGCAAAGCTGTCCACTGGTGATCGGATCAGCTGAGACAGATGTTCATAACAGATGTGAACATAACAGACACATCCACTTGATCCCACTGTACCTTTCTCTCTTCAGGGTGGTGTTTGCTGATTTCTTTGTGATGAACTTGATTCTGTGGGGAGAAGGGTCTTCAGCAGCCATGCCCTTTGGGACCCTGGTAGCCATATTGGCTCTTTGGTTCTGTATTTCCGTGCCACTCACGTTCATAGGTGCATACTTTGGCTTCAAGAAAGCAGTAAGTACATATAAATGCACATACTGTCCATCCATTCATGCTTAAGATCTTCTGTCAATGGTTGTATACATTTCAGTGGTGGTTCACAGAGTGCACTTTCATGTTGTCATCAGTGAACTACTCAAGGTACAAAGGAACCAGAAATCAGTCCATTTACTCCCTCAGTACTTAAATACTAACACTGACTATCCCTTCCTGTAGCTCAGTCAAGTTTTGTCTGTGTTGTCACGTGCTGTGCCATCATGAGGATTTCATACTTCAAACTATTTTAAGTAAACCAGCAAGAATGTAGAGATGCTATAGCACGTCCAGATAAGTCTTTCCAGGCTGCTCATTCCTCAACATCTGACTCCCTTTCTCTCTCTCTCTCTCCCTCTCTCTCTCTCTGCTGTGGTTGTTTAAGGGTATTGAGCATCCAGTTCGGACCAATCAGATTCCTCGTCAAATCCCAGAGCAGTCGTTCTACACAAAGCCTCTCCCTGGTATCATCATGGGAGGAATTCTGCCTTTTGGATGTATTTTCATTCAACTCTTCTTCATCCTGAACTCAATCTGGTGAGAAAGAAGACTAAGGTTTGCCTGGAACAATTTATAGAAAGTCGGGGTACATCATACAGTTTCAGCTAATCCTAAAACACAATAATGAGTATTAACAGCAGCCAGTCTAAGTTTTCTGTAGTCGTCATCCAATTGGTAACTAACTTAAAACAGGAAATAATCGATATAATAGATTATTGATCTGGTATGTTTCTATTTCATGGGAAGTTACAGAATGAATAAAAGCTGCAAGATATAACATCCCAAGTAAATCTTCTCATAGAAGAGGTTAACAGGTTGTTCAATTCTTTAAACGTATAGTACAAATATGGTAGCATAGTGACCGTAGTGTGGATTGCAATGTTGTGTATTTTATGTGTTGTAACGTTAGTCAGTGAGGGACTCAGTATCCATGACATGTCTCTTCCTGTCCTACAGGTCCCATCAGATGTACTACATGTTTGGCTTCCTTTTCCTTGTCTTCATCATCCTGGTCATCACCTGCTCTGAGGCCACCATCCTGCTCTGCTACTTCCACCTGTGTGCTGAGGTGAACTGCATGATCCCTGCAGTACCTGTCAAATACTCTCTGTCCTCTTTATGTTTTAGACGTGATATCAATGCTGACATTTCTGTAGCAAAGAATTTTATGACAGTGTTCTTCTGCTCTTTCATTAGTTACACCACAGACACACAGAAAAGATGAGCTAAAAAAAAGAAGCTAGAATTGCGTCTACTTGTGCAGGGCTTGTTCTGCACAGGCAGAGAGACAGACAGAGATTTCTGGAGTTATTAGACATTTCTCAACGATCTCATTTTATTTGCCCTTTCCATTCTCTGAATAATAGATTTGTATAATCATTTTTGGAATAACTGCTTCTTTGATAAGCTCTGGAGCTTTTACAATTATTCTTTGTCATTAGTGAGTCCTCAAACAGTTCCACAATATACTGTTTTATTGTTTGTGTCTGAATTTCTTTTCATTACTGTTCAGGTCTGTGGTTTATAAATGAGTTTGAATGGATTTTTTTTCATACATTACATGTTGGCTATTTCNGAATAATAGATTTGTATAATCATTTTTGGAATAACTGCTTCTTTGATAAGCTCTGGAGCTTTTACAATTATTCTTTGTCATTAGTGAGTCCTCAACCTGTTCTAAACCTGCCTGTTTGATTTGCCTCTGCTGAATTTCTTTGCATAAATATACAGGTCAACTGTGTATGAATGACTAAGAATGGATTTTTTTTCATACATTACATGTTGGCTATTTCAGAGGTCTGTTAAGCAGTTAACACAATCTTCAGATCCAAGTTCACAACCTTTCAAAATAAAAGCTTTAATTCACCTTGATATAAAGCATTGCAGCTGATGAAATAAAAATATTTAAATTATCAAAAGGATCTGGTGAGGATTTTGACTGGTGGTTTGACCCAGTTGCTGAGTGCTGCTGTAGTTTATCTGAGGTTATAGAAGAGGACACACAGACTTGTTGGATAATTTAGAGACACAAGGATTTACTTGGTACGATTTTGAGTTTGTTTTGATTTCTGGTCCTGTGATTGATTCAACACTCATTCATGACTCTCTCTCTGGTCACTCGCTCTGTTAAACATTTCAGTTAGGGAATGTTGATTTGTTCCTGTACATTTAAACTCCAGCTGTATTCCTCCTCCTCCTACAGGACTACCACTGGCAGTGGCGTTCCTTCCTGACCAGCGGTTTCACTGCTGTCTATTTCCTGGTCTATGCCGTTCATTACTTCTTCTCAAAGCTCCAAATCACTGGACTGGCCAGCACCATCCTGTATTTTGGGTACACCATGATCATGGCTCTCATCTTTTTCTTATTCACTGGTACGTATATAAAAAGAAGGAAGGGTGGGGGTGCTGCACTGACTATAGTCACTATAGTGAGGACATTTATCGATTGTACTGAATGAAACAACATGGCTGCTGAGACCTTTTCAGCTTGACAATGGCGCTTGCAGTAACAGGAGGCACAGTGTGAGGGATCTTCCATTTTCAAAATCTTTAGAAGCAGGGGAAAGGAAAATGTCTTGAATAGAACAGTTTTAACAATAAAGTTGCTTCAGAAACTACCTATAAGTAACTACCTTTACTTATTGAACACTTTATTGTGCTGTAGATCTGTATCATAGCATGAGGCTGTGAGCAATATGCACGGGATGGGAAGAGTTCTACATGTGTATGCATTCATCCGTCTTTGCTGTAAATTGACAGTTTTATGTTTTATCCTCCAGTTCCCAGGTCTCTGATGTCCCTAGGTTTAAAAAAAAAAATTTAAAAATGGGTGAAACCTATTGGACTGGCCTTTGAGCAGTTCAGCTGAAAAACAACATTTTAAACAATGAGACCTGTAGTGACTTGAAATACAAAACTGTATGAAACGTCAATGCCGAGTGTTTGGTGGTGACTCAATGCCGCTCAGCCTCCTATATGTTTAGTATATGGTCTAGTGCTGTGTCAACATGTAGCTCTACTTCAAGCTGTCTTTTCTCTGTCCTCAGGTGCAATTGGCTTCTTTGCCTGTTTCTGGTTTGTTACCAAGATCTACAGCGTGGTCAAAGTGGACTGAAGCATTCAAAGACACAGCAGACTGTATTCGGCTTGATGAGGTTTCCTCTCGTCGACATTTGGTGATGTCAAACTGAACTGAACATTGCAATCTGAACTTCCTCCTCGTCTCATTTCTTCAGTCAGACGTGACTCTGCCTCAGACACATGACAGTTTTCTTTGTTTTGTGTGCCTAAAATGTTTGTGTGTGTGTGAGCATGTGTACGCTGGGTTGTCATCAGTACAGTATCTATCTGCATATAATCTGAATGAAATCATACCTGACACATGAACAGATGCAGTGCACAATGAGCCGATGTCGTGCATTTTAGATTTATTTTATGATCCCTGCACTTTGTTTGCAGACAAATAGATGGTCTGCTACGTTCTCAGACCTGGTGTGTTCATATGATGCACAGGTGTAAAATGTGCCCTTGTTACTATTTTAAATGATAAACCTGTGAGCAGTACATCTTTGATGCAGTCTGTTATCTGAGTCTCCCAAACTCCCAAAAGTTTGGTTAGAATGTGATCACAGCCAATTAGAACTGTATGGTTTCTGTGTCCCCTCAGATTATTGCGGAACAGTTTTCATGTCTGTGAGGTTTTGGGGAATAACTGGTGGTGATTAATCTTCCGCTGAACGTTTGAGGAGTGGAGCAGGTTCAGCCAACGGTACGACAGCTTATATACAGCAGGGCACGTGTAGAATCTTTTTCAGTATTTTAACATTGATCCAAGAGTAAAGTCCACATCAGCACTGTGGTGCCAGCGTCTGTTCCAACACACCAGGGCCAAAGCAGCAATATGATGGATTCCCAGAGAGGCACTTCTCWCTTCCTCTTTTTATCTGTATGGTCTGTGCTGTGAGCTAGAACTGATTCACTGCTCCACAATGCAGCCAGAGTGTGTGTTTTCTTCAGGCTTTGTAAGTTTAAGGTCAGCTGTAATTCTTCASTTACGTCTGACAAATTTTACCAGCAGGCAGTAGTTAGATACTCACTAAGCTTACCTTGTGGGAGTAGACCTCAATATCATMTAGGATGCGCTTTTTAAAAGTGCTGATTTGAAAAATAAAATGTAATACATTGTGCAACGCAGGCCAGCTCKTTTCACCCGCTTCTCTCTATGACCTCCTGCAAATGAAGGAAGTGAAGCTTTGACAGAAGGTTTTGTGTGATGAAGAGTTACTAGTCTGTCCTGTTACAGTGACACACATTTCTCTATTCAGGGTTCACTTCATTAAACCCCCCCACAGTTCTTTMTCATCATGCAGCAACAAAACACAGGGTCAGCACTGACAACGCTGCTCAAAAACAACAGCAGGTAGCGTTGGATTACAACAAAGAGTGCCTCTTGTGTATTGCATGGWTTATACCAACCTAATATGTTAAAGAAATTCATGTAAAGTGAATTKATTTCAGTTATGCAAATAACGTGTGTGTAGCGTTAGCGAGTCAGTTAGTGGTGACATGTCATCACACTGTGTGTCGTCTCTTTCATGACATTTGAAGTGTGTGCGTTTGAATTTATGGCCTCATTGCTTGGTGTTGTTCCGACTGTGAGGAACGTGTAACAGACTGAAAAGGAAAAACCTGCATTTTAACGAGGTGAGAGTAGTAAGGGAGTGAACACATCCCATCAGCTCACAACACGACATACACACCACATGATAACACTGCTTCAACGCTCATGTGTGACTGACTGTCATGAGGCAAATGTCAGCAGAACAGTGTGGAGCAGATGATCTCTTATTCAGCTCACATCAGTTGGTTTGCTTTGTGTAGAACTGGTGACTGAGGCTCATCAGTGACTGACTGCTGAGAGACTAAGTTTCATCCTTTCAGCTTCATAAGAGTGGAACATTTTGATTAAATAACCTTTTCTAATGCTACATTTTGGAGTTGGAAATGGAACASAAGACACAGACATTTGAGTTAATGGGATTCAGTTATAACYGTCWGGTTGGTCTAATYATTAAACAGCTTTTTCTTCTCRGCTCTTTGTTTTTGTCCTGATTCAATGACYTGTATCTCAGATTCTCCTTTAAAGCCATTTCAGTATCAAATTATTCAAATATTGTAGCTACTACATGTAACATCACAGTGGTCTATAATGTATTACAACACAGTCCTTTATTGTGATACATTTCCTGCTTTTCTACACCAACAAACCTCTGGGATAAGTTAGGAAACAGGCCCCTGCACATGTCTACATTAGACTGAGGCTACTATAAAATCCATCAAATAGATCAGCAACAGTATAGAAGTGAGCAAATCAGAGCAGGAAATTATGAGAATATATGTTTCATTTAAGAAATAGATTTATATAAACATTATTAAGCTGAAGTCAGGACTATTTAATGTACAACTGTATTTTGAACCGTTTAGTTTGGATTCTTTTTCTAGACTGGATTATTGTAATTCTTCATCAGATGTTCCAGTTGGTCTGTAAAATCTAGAATAGAACACAATCCTGCTCCTCACATAAAAAGCCCTTGATAATCAAGCCCCATCATATATTAACAAGCTCGTAGGACTGTATTGTGCCTGGTTTTAAGAAATATGGAACAGTAGAGAGGAGTTTCATCTCTCAGAGAACAAGAGTTACAATGTCAGCAAAGGCCAAAGGGAAAAAAAAATCCATCACCAGCAGGCAACAAAACCATTGGGTTTGAAGTTTTGAACTCATTTTTTTGTGAGCCTTTGGATCCAAACCATGGCACGAGCCTTCACCTCCACCCAAGCAGAGCTCAGCCACCAGAGCTCCTCACATTACTTGACTCATGCATTCAGTTTCTCCTCTGCCACCATCTGTAGGTGAAAACTGGTGCTCACTTCTGAGTTCTATCAGTCATTCAGAACAGACATTTAGCACCATCTGCTCTGTCAGTCACACTGTTACCTCTTCTAATTTTAACTGTTGTTTCTGATACAGCCACACAGATCAGTCCCAGTTGGAGTTGTGAAAAGAAGGAGCACTTTATTTGTTGGATATAGTGTTTTAGTGTCAGTTTAACTAAATTACAATAGATGTTGAATATAATAAAACTACATTGTCTTGGTTTTCTCCTGTGAGGTTCTGATCTGACATTTCTGCTGCAATCCAGCTCAATAGAGGTGAATTCAATTTTCTTTTTGTTGATCTTATCTGAAAAATAACATTTGAAAAGGGTCCATTCCCATTGAGTTAAGTGGCTGTAACCTGTCTCAAAATCTTGGGACACAAAATGATGAAGGGGGTTTTATGTAGGTGAACTGACCCTTTAGAAAAAAAAAAGGAAAGTCAGGTCTAAAAAACAATATGTGCAGACATTATAGAAAGGTTCACACGAGGAGAAAGTTGCATGTCTAACATGGAAGAGCAGTTTTGCACTGCAGATAACGGAGTCACCGTCAGGGAAACTACTGTTGGGGGGCCACAATGGAGACTGACCACAGGCAAAACCAAATCCAGCATCTGATATTGTCCAGTCTGTTTGCCAACGTGGATCTTCTCTGTGGACATGAAGGAGTAAGGCTCATTCTGGTGCTGATGTCTCACATCCTAAGGTCAAAAATTTTATTCCAGCTCAACGAGCAGATCTCCCTCTCCCACTGTCTCCCCCGGTTTACAGTGGACACTTTTAACCTGGAACGCAGCAGGAAACACACAAACATTAAGGGTGCTGTTTGTTCATTTTGTGCTATTTTAGTAATAGTAGTAGTAAAAATCTAGTTGTCACTGTCAGAATTGTAAACTGTTACCTTTGCTTGCTTGACGGCAGTCAAACTGTTCTGCATCTTCATGGCTTCAATCACACAGATCTCCTGACCTTCTGCAACCTACACACACATTTTAAATGAGGGAAATTCACATGTGAAACTATGGCAGGCCAAATACAATTTTCATTTAATTCTACTAATACAAATGATAATGATAATAATGATGTTAATATTTTGTATTTTGAGCAAAATCCTTTTAAATAGACATTACTGTGAGTTATTTTGGCCACGATAATCATTTAGTGAGAATCTGAAAACCTTGTGACAGCCTTACAATTATTGAAACCGTACCTGCAGTGATACATTTGTCATAAATTGACCTTCATCAGGCAAAATATGAGAAGTGCACGAGTGTTTTCACTAACGTGTAGTCCACTTTTCTCTGACTCATCTGTCGATTTTTGTTTGTAGTGCTTTGACAACCCTACGATTAAAATACCCCAGACAGCTAAGTAAGAGTAAGTGTAGGTGTTGTTGTAAACCTCTACATATTGGGATGTGTTACCGTATCTCCAGGCTTGACAGACACCGCCACAATTGTGCCTGGCATCGGTGAACGTAGGATGCTGCTGGTGTCTTCTGGAACTTTCTCTGGCATGAACGAGTTCAACTCTGCTGCCAACTTGGACAGAACGCGCAGCTGAAACTACACAAAGAAACACGGCATGATTAACACAGGACAGAGGAGATTTGTGCTGCACTGATTAAATAAAGAGCATAGCTATGGTCTTTACACCTGCATGTGTGAAAATAAGTTGATAAAAGTTCTAGTGCACCGTCACTTGATTTCACTGTTGTTTGGATCTGAGGAATAAGTTTGAAAATAAAAATTCTAAGGGATGGAGTCTCTGCTGGAGTGAACAACAAAGATGGATGGTCTTGACTGGGTGCTAACAGTAAATAAATCTGGACCATATGGAATAAACTGACCAGACACTTAGTTTGATGTTATTTTGAAATTCAGTTCCAGTATCAAGACCTCGGTATGTTAGTATATGACTATAAACAAGTACCTTTTTCCAGATGAGGTGATCTATGATCATATGAGTGATCTATGAAAGAGAATGAGCTGCACAAAGATGCACTGTATGAATGTATGTGGATGGGTGAATGTAAAACTGTACTGTAAAGAGCTTTGAGTGGTCATCAAGACTAGAAAAGCTTTATATATAAATGCAAACCATTTACCATTTTACCAGTTTAGAATTTAGTGTATAATATAGTCCTCACTGTCGCTGTATGGCAACATTCTCCTCATCGCAATGTCTGTGTGATGATGTGCATGTAAGGAAACATACCGATGTGCCCAGGTACTGTAGGACAATCCTTCCAGAGGCATCTCTGGACAGACACTAAAACACAGGACAAAATATCATCTGTAGTGATTACCACAGATCATCGAGGCCAACCACACAAGATGTAATTAACAACCAATCTGCCTGTGTGAGTGTGTGTGTGTGTTACCTGGAGCATTCTCTGTGTGCCATTGATGGTGATTGGCAGCAGTGGGGAGGCCAGGTTCCACTGTCCACTGACTTCCATTGTTCCTCCATCCACCTCTACCTGAATGACACACATTGTTTTGTTCTTAAGTTTCCTTATAGTCATAAGAGATCATTAGAGTCACTTTGTTAGATACTGATGTGTTTCATTTGTTCATGGATGCACATTAAATACTCACAGTATAAACATTTCCGGATTTGGTCACCTCCATGGCATGGATTCCCTCCCCCAGCTCCACACACAGCTCCCAGTGGTTACATTCCACAGGGGTGGAGGAAACTCTGCAAAACACACATGTCCATTTAAATTCATAAGAGCCAAAGCATCTGAGCTCCTCCTTCCTCTGGAGTTCCCATCCACTTGATTTATCCCACATAGATGGCTCATCATCACAGGGACGACATTTTATAGTTCCAACTTTTCAACTGTGTCACCCAAAGGTGTTCAAATATGTTTCTAGTATTGAGGTGGTGCTGTGAAATGTTGATCATCTCTTAAGACATAACCAATGGTAAATTTCAGATTTATTCTTGTGTACTCAACAACGACCTATACACTGCATATTTTAGAAAATGACTGAGTGATGGTTGGGGCGGTGTGCAGCACACTGACATGAAGCTTTCCGAGTGTCCTCACCTTAAGTTGCCCAGGACCTTCTGTGAACGGAGCTGAGCGGTGATGTAGAGCGCCGCTGCCGAGGCCAGCAGCTCCCTGCGGTTATCCACCTCCAGCTGGTGACCATTGAAGCCATCAGGATAAACCTCCGGCAGAAAGTTAGTGCTTATGTCCCCAGAGATAAAGCGAGGGTGGGTGATGATTTCCCGCAGGAGAGGAATGTTGTGGGTCACACCTGGAGAGAGGACACATGACAAACAACAACAAAGGAAACATTGGTCCAATTAAAACGTGACTTTAAATCTGTGGAGTCAGCGAATGTTTACTATAAACATTAGTTGGTGTACCTCTGATAACATAGTTATCCAGCGCATCTTCCATCTTGGCAAGAGCTTCCGCTCGCGTCGCTCCATAAGTAACCAACTACAAACAGATACCACAGGAAATTATTACAGAACCATGAACTCTGTGCAGCAGCTTTCTGCGCCTGCTTTCTTGTTGTGACAACATGTTTCTAAAGATATGAAACACACCATTTCCAAATCAAAACCATCACTTCTCCACTGACCTTAGAGATCATGGGATCATAGTAGATGCTGATGTCACTGCCCTCCTGAATACCACTGTCTACACGGACCTGACAGGACGAGGGACAGAAAAGAAAGTGTTAATATTACCAGGACAGGTGCTTGTCTCTCATGGACATTTGGGTGGATTGTGTGTGAAGAGAAACTTTTTCTTAAATGATCTTCTCTAATGCAGCTCTACTTTGTTATAAAAGATGACATAATTATGAGTCTCTCTCATTCAAACTTACATTGCTGAGATTGAGTGGCTCTTGGTATTGGGACAAGCGTCCGATGGAGGGAAGACCAAAAGACTTGTAAGGATCCTACCAGAGTAAAGCAGAGTAAAACAGATGGATCAATGGAAAATACAGTCACTGCTCAGATGAGTTCCCAGCAACAGAAATCTCAGGTTTCGTTCAGGTAAGGTGGTGGTGCAGAGGCAGGATGGGACATAGTCATTCTACTGCAGAGATCACGTGTTTTTGTTAACAGCACATCCACACCGGTTTCGGCCCTAATCACGAAAGCTCTCAAAACCTTTGTCGATGTACGTTTCTACGTGTCACCCACTTTTCCATCCTGAGATATTTACTTTTTTGCTACATTTTTCCTCACAGGTTCACATGGATATCATCTAGAGTTTTTACTGGGGGACTGGCAGGAGAACCTCTGAAGAAAGTCCAGAAGCTCCAGTCCAACATTTGCCATCTTACATACAGCCCCCCCCAGATTATCCAGAGTTCAGTGAATGTCTAAAAGCAGCTTTAGGGAAATAAATCCAGCAGGATGTACCTCTGCGTAGACGCGACTCTCTATAGCCCAGCCGTTTATTGGGATGTCTTCCTGTTTGTGCTGCAGCTGGTAACCCTTGGCGACCCTGATCATCTGCTCCACCAGGTCCAGGCCAGTAATGCATTCTGTGATTGGATGTTCCACCTGGGGTCAAAGGTTAAAAACAGAAGATACTGGTTTCTGTTAGCATATAGCAGTGTGTTTCTTCATCAGCAGGTAGAGTTTGCTCAGTTTTCATTGAGATGGTTATTTATGGGTGTAGTCAAACTCCTTGCACTAATGATGACTGAACTGGAGTTAAAAGCTCTGATAAAAACCTGTACGTAGATTTAAGATTATATTCCACACCACAGCTGTGAAAAGAAAGAAAATGCTTCAAAACAATCTAT